GAAACTCTGTTTTGTTTCCCAGCTAAACAGTCAGCACACTTCTTCAACTGGATCTGGTTTAGATCTGGTAAGGCGATCTTCTTTACCAAACGCGCCATTGACTTCTCACTCATGTGGCCAAGACGTCTATGCCACAACTTGATATTGCTATCATTCTCCGCAACATTTATAACTTGTTGGGAGATGCTCGCCTGGGTCACGTACAACTTTGACTGCTTCGTGCCCCGCGCCACCACCAATGAGCCCTTCGTGAGCTTCCATTGGCCATTATGGAAGGTATTGCAGTAACCTTCCTCATCGAGCTTGTCTACGGAGATCAGATTCAGGCGCATATCTGGAACATGCCTGACATCTCTTAAAAGTAGCTTCATCCCATTCATGGTCTCTAGGCAAACATCACCTTTGCCTACAACTGTTGAGAAATTGGCATTTCCCATCTTTACACGACCAAAGTCTCCAGGTGTGTAAGATGAGAAGAGTTCTCTCCGTGGCGTCGCATGAATGGTAGCCCCACTATCAATCACCCAGGTCATCTCTTGGGTTGTCAGATTGATAATGTCGTCATCGTAGACAACGTTGAACTCACCAAAGGAGTTCGTTTCATCATCACTGCTTTCTTCGGGCTTCACCTTTTTGCCTTTGTTCTTCTTCTGGTCATTCTGGAACTGTCGGCAAAATCTTTTGATATGCCCCTTCTTTTTGCAGTAATGGCACTCAACATTTGCAAATTTGTTGGATTTACCTCTGCTCTTATCTCTGTTACTCTGGCTCTTATTTTGACTTCTCCCCCTGGTCGTAACAGCCAACACCTCTGACTGTGAAGAAGATGTTCCTTGTGATCGGCGTCTCATTTCTTCATTCAGAATGCCACTCTTGACTGTCTCCATGTTTACCACACCGTTGGGTGCAGAATTGGTGATTGAAACCTTCAAGGTTTCCCATGACTCTGGGAGTGTTGCCAGCACCATAAGAGCAAGTACCTCGTCATCGAACTTTATGCCCATTCCCGACAACTGGTCGACAATCCCTTGTATTTCATTAAGGTGATCTGCCACAGTTGTCCCTTCTACATATTTTACTTGCATTAATTTTGTCAAGTAAAATAATTTGTTGTTACCTGTTTTAGAGGCATACAACTCTTCGAGCTTGTCCCATAACGACCTTGCATGTGTCACACCAGAAATGTGGTTGTACACATTGTCTTCAACAAATTGCCGTATGTAGCCGCACACTTGGTTGTGCTCAAATTCCCAGTCCTCGTCTGACTTATCTTCAGGTTTCTGAGAACTGAACACCGGCAGGTGCATCTTTGTCACGAACAGGAGATCCTTCATCTTGTTTCTCCATAAGTGATAATTTGTGCCATTCAGGTTGACCATCTTGCTTGTCCTCGCCTCCATTTAGATCAGAATTTGACAGACTTCTGCAATCTAAAAAAAATTCCGACGGTGAATAGTAACCGTGGATATGAATAGTGCCCGTATGGATGAATAGTACTTGTACGTATGAATAGTACTGTACGTATGAATAGTACTCTAACCAAAGCTCTGATACCACTTGTTAGGACCCGGTGGCACTAAATACTACTGCACAGCGGAATAAAATAAATGATCAACGAAACCAAAAATAAATGACACAATATTCAACGTGGTTCACCTAAAATGTTTAGGCTACGTCCACAAATCCGACACCAACTTCCACTAAAACATTTAGCAGGCATACCAAGAGAGACTTCCCCAATAATTTGGAGGTACAACAATTCCTGATCTCTACCCAAAATAGTGGCGCACACAAAAGTGTTTCCCGAAAAATACCCGACTAGTATTTCTACTCACTATTTTGTCACTCCCCTGTTAGGAAACATTCCAAAAAAAATATATCAAAATTGTTAGGACCCGGTGGCACTAAACACTACTGCACAGCGGAATAAAATAAATGATCAACGAAACCAAAAATAAATGACACAATATTTAACGTGGTTCACCTAAAACGTTTAGGCTACGTCCACAAATCCGACACCAACTTCCACTAAAACATTTAGCAGGCATACAAAGAGAGACTTCCCCAATAATTTGGAGGTACAACAATTCCTGAGCTCTACCCAAAATAGTGGCGCACACAAAAGTGTTTCCCGAAAAATACCCGACTAGTATTTCTACTCACTATTTTGTCACTCCCCTGTTAGGAAACATTCCTAAAGGAACTATATCTCTCTCCCTCTCAAACTCTTTCTTCTTGACTTTTGATATATTTTTTTTTGGTGTGTTATACAATGAAATGGAAGGGGGTATTTATAGTTTTGAGATAGGGACCAAAAGTGCAAATCTCACCTACCAAGAAGGATCAATTTGCAATATTCCCATCTCACCTATCACCCATTGCATCATTGCTTATCTCACTAAGGAGAGTTGCATCATTGCTTACCTCTCCCATACATCACCATAATTGTTGGAAAAACTAACAGCGAGAAGGAAAGCGGTCCCCATAAAGTTTGTTACTATATTGGCTGAAGCAGATGGAGAGAAATGCATGAACTTCGATAGATAGATGACTAAATTGCTTGCATTTGCCAGGTATGCTAGGTTCTCCAAGACTTCAACCACTAGAGTTCACAAAGGAAGAAAGATTATTGTTATAATCTCGAATTCACTATTAATGAGCGAACAAACTACGAAGAGTTTCTTATAGAGGAGTCTATTATGTAGAGTTAAAATTTTCACAAATTATAGAGCTCGTTTTGTAATTAGAATTTGCATGAAGCATGAAAATGCTAATGAAGAAAAACAAACCTAAAACAAAGGAGGCAGCAACCACTCCACCATGGCATCCTTTAATGGCTGGCCTATTTCTCCAGTCCATGTAGCCTTCCCATATGGTATACCTGTCCTGCAGTCATGATGCAAGCAACTTTAGAAACACTTAATTGGAACAAGAAGAAGAGGAGATGAGGACAGGAAAAAAGGTGCACCATCTCTCTCTCTCTCTCTCTTTTTGTATAACTGAGATCTTCAAGTATCTAAGTCGAAATCACCCAGCCTGACGAGGAAGTTATGCTGAGTCACATTTAAATAGTGGAGGGGGGTAGCGATGTTCAAATTGTATAGAAATTTCTGGATCATTTGAAAGTGACATGCTCTTAGTGGACATCTTTACTCCTAGCACTGTGGTAAAAGTTCATGTCATTGTCAGTATGTTCTTGTGGGTTAAATACATGTAAAGGGAGGTAGAGATGGAGAACGGGTGGGTCCTTATCCATTATTACTTTTCAAATTTATATTCCAAGTATGGTTAACATAACCTCCGTGGTGCAGCGACAACTCTTTTGTGAGGAAGGATAGGTAGAAATGGCAAAGTTAACATATCATGTTGCTACAAGTTTTAGATAAAAGGGTTAATCGGTTTGTAGTAAGTTTCTGCGAGGGTAAGAAAATGTTGATCAAATTGCAACCTGTTTTACATTTGAGTATATGTTTTATGTTTAGCTTCTATAAATGTCAATGGCATGCAATGGATAGATATAATCAGATGAGAGATCTGGTGTTCAATCTCATTGGTGATTTGCATGCTGTATTACCCAAGTTTGAGCTTTTGTAAGTATTTCATACTATCTTCATTTTACTTGTTATTGCATGACCTAAAACTATAAGAATTGTTTTATCTCGGACTTAGTACTCTTTTATCAATGAGAATGCTTATAGTAGCTGTGAGCACGTGATTTTTGCCCTATATGAATTACTCCCACAAATTCAAAACAAAACAATTTTTTCCATTGTTTGCAATTTTGTGGATTTTTGTGGCATTTTTTGCCAATTGTTTGCATTTGTCTGTGCATGTTTCTTTTATTTAATTAATGAAAAACACAAAAATACATTGCATTTGCATTTAGGATCTATTTTCACATTTTGAGGATAATTATTAAATTAGGTGCTTTATTAAAAACATGAATATCACAAAATTGGTTTACTTTTGCATTTCTAGCCTTTTAACTATAAATCAATAATTTCCCCCTTTAATTTAGAAGTAATATATTCTTGTAATTATTATGTTAGGTTTTTAGCTTAATTTAGTAAATTAATTACTTTTTAGTAGTTTTTAATTTAAGTTTTAATTAATTAAAAAAGGAAAAGAAAAACAAACAAAAGAAAGGAAATTAAAAAGATTTTTGAAAGAAGGTTGATAGTTTGGGCTGCCTTTAATTAAATTTACACAGGCCCAAGTCATTTTTTTCCAAGACCAGGTCAATTCGGCCCAAAACCCACCCCTCTACCTGGTCCGCCCCACCTTAAAACTAAATGACACAGTTTCGTCCTTTTTGATTTGGACCGTTGATCTCAGTTGATTAAACGATCCGGAACTGACTCTACCTTAATATATAAATGTCGGACCCCCACCCCCATCGTCTCTCTCTCACCCTCGTCTCTTCGGAGACCACCCCCGAAACCCTAATCTGCCACCCCTTTTTCCCCACCTCGAACCCGGCGGCGCCTTTACCAAACAACCCTAAATTAACACCCCATGACCCCCTCACTCCCTTCTTTCCAAATTCCCACTCCGTTTCTCTCGAACATGGCTAGAGCTATTCGAATCTTGAATCTAGGGTTCGAGCTTTGGAGGCCAAAACCAAGTCCATTCATGAAAGATCATCTCTCCGGTGTTTATGAGCGTTCAAGGCCGATTTTATCGCGAAACAATGTTATTCGCCTATTCTCTACAAAGAACAAGTGATTAATATTATTTTGCGGCTTAAATCGGGAGTCAGTCGCGAGTTCGAGTGTTGGGTGAGTTCTGTTTCTTTCTTTGTCCATTTTCGTTCGTCTTTTCTCTTCCTCTTCTTCTTCTTCTATGATTGTTCAAATATCATGTCCTCTGTCTGAATTTGTTGAAGAGTTCTGAACCATGCCTTTCCCTTTAGATTAATTTAGGGTTCATTTGTTAGTTTTTCAGTTTCTCTTTTCAAGTTTTTAATTACTGTCCTCCGGATGGGCTCCTACAGCCCAAGCGCAATATCGAGCCATCTCGTGGAATCAAATCTAGGCCCTCGACCTCATATCAATATCAGTATAATCACCCAGGCTCTTGGCCTCAATATCAATGTAATCAACTAGGCTCTCGGCTTTAATATCAATGTAATCAACCAGGCTCTCGACCTCAATATCAATATAACACTGCTGCGGCGCGCAGCCCGATCCATGCTCAGTCCAGAAATCATCATAAGCCCCTTGGGCATTTGTAAAACAGTAGTTCTCAGCCCGAAATATCATTTAAAAATACCATTTAAGTTTTTAAATCTTAGAAAGATGGCTGAGTTTGCAAAACAGTATTTAAAAACCTTGGACTGAGATCAAATGATATGCATGTATGCGAAAACTGTGATGTCAATCCCTGAAGGATTCAATAATTGGCAAGAAGCCCAAATGTAACAGTTAAATCCAAGTAAGGATGATTCTCAATTTAGTTCAAGTAGAAAACAGGGTAAAAACATCTCTCAGGACGGACCAAGTCACAATCCCCAATGGTGCTCTACCACACGCCCGTTATCCGGCGTGCAAGTCACTTCAATATAGCAATACAATGTGAATTCCGGGGTTTCAAACCCTCAGGACATCATTTACATCAATTACTTACCTCGAATCGGTTACTTCTTTAGCTCGCGACGCCTTTGCCCCTCGAAAAATTGGCCTCCACGTGCGTCGAATCTATCCAAAATCAGAACGAATATGTCATAATATGATAA